AAGAAGGCGACGAAAAGAAAATATTTTTGAAATTTTGAACCGCCCTCATAATTATGTATGTGTATGAGTAATTTTTTTTACATTTCTCTAAACTTGATTTTTTTCTAAAACAAACAATGCGAAAATTGTCCCTTTAATTTTATATTTGACATTTTCTTATTATTATTTTTATTACACTAAAAAACAATTTTACAAAAGAAAAAAGAATGAATAAACACACGTGGATATATATAATTACATATGTAATTATAATAATTATATATAACTTTATATACAATTATATATGTTTATAAATACTTATACATATTTATATATATTATTTATGCATGAACAATTTTTTACCATATTACTTACTATCAGTTGTTGCTGCTATGAATTCAGCGTCGAATACGTTTAATATTTATAATTTTAATTTATCATTTTTGTAAACACGAAGTTCTTTCATTTTCAAAGAAATGTGAATGCGCTCTCCATGCGCATCATGCGTGAAACGGAACGCAGCCTAGAGCAAGTGCACGTTTGTACCTGTACCTAACCTCACCGTAAATTACTCTTAATGGCTCGACGCGTGACAGGTGTTTACAAAACTGACGATTATATCCGTTTATTATTTTATTAATTTACTTTGAAAGGAAACGTGGGCACATCACCGTGCTATATAATTACAAATGATATCACGATCGTCACGATCTTTGATATAATCGGCATATTCATAAACATAATAAATGAGTTGCTGACAGGGAAAGATCGAGTACGGTGAGTCACGAAGAAATTTCAGTTTTAACAGTTTAATTTCATCTTAGACATTTCACTGTGTTAATAGAAAAATGAAATTCACAATTAAAAACACAATTAAAAAATTACCATTTTGAGAGAGTGGAAGGAAATTAATCCTAAAGACTAATATATTTTTGTGGTAAAATAATACATTTTCTATACTCTACTGGTACTGAAAAATAAGACTACAAGAACATCATACAAGTATATGTAAAATTTATGTATCATTAAATAACATAAGACTAAAGATAGATATTTTACAATTTCTATTCTGATACTAAAGATGACCTACTCCGAGATCGAAATGTTTGGAAGTTATCCTCATCCCAGATAGCCAAGTCTGTAGAAAGCAAACTTTTTTTAAATGTCTGCTACACACTATGCCAACAAAACAACAGAATTGTTACAAAATTAGATATACATAATACTGTTGACAGACTGCTAGAAAAAACATAATAGAATCTACAAGCAGAAGTAAATGACAGACTGGAGAAAGAAACAGCAGATTTGTGGTATAATCTGATAGTATTTTGTCTACAGAAACCAAGCAGATCCTGTCGACATCACCTAGCACTAGACTGTCAGCAGAAACGACGCAGATCCTGCTCTGACACGATTTGACAGCAGATGGTTGACAGAAACCCAGCAAGTTCTACTGACATTTGACGTGTCAGCAGGATCTGCGTCGTTTTTACTGACAGTTTAGCGTTAGATAATGTCGGCAGGATCTGCTCAGTTTCTGCCAACAATTTGCCTTTACATTATGTCGACAGGCGATGTTAATAGAACACAAGCCTTATGCAGTTGATGGCAGATTAACGTCGTGAACAAAAAACAATTAGTTTAACATTGTGTTTTATAATAGCAAATCATCAGTTTACCTTGACAAAACTTGATTATAAAGATGTGTAACTTATCTTTAGCAGCCTTAATTTCTACCACAAATATTTCCTCCTTTTCGTCTTAGTTGCCTTTATCCTATTTGCTTATATGTTGTAGTTGGTGATCACATAATAGTATTCGCAATATTTGTAAGGCCTTACAAGACGATCATTTAATTAATATTACATAGAGATCGCATCGCTCTTATTCACAAGATAAATTAACCAGAGAGAACAATCGAACAAAAACGATGCTCAAATCATCAACAGCTCGAATCAGTTCGATAGGAATTATCTCGATAACTTGATAAGAATTATATATTCTAGTGCTCGGAATTACATTATAAATATTTTACAATGTAAAATATTTATGATGTAAAATTTTTATGTTAATAATAAAATATGTTAATAATAAAAAATTTATTTTAATTATTAATTAAAATAATGGTAGTGGGGGGTTGCCTCAGGAATTTGCCCAAAATGAGCAACTAATTCCGAGCACTGATCTATTCTAACATAACATATAAAAAGAAAATGAAGTTATGCAAACATTCAGAAAGAATTTTTTAAATCTCTCTATCTACTAAAAGGTTCCTTACTGAAAAAAAATCATGTCACAACGTTAATTGATGAAATCATGTAATTAAAACATGTAAATCACACAACGAATTGTTACAAATTAGTATGTAATTTTTTTTAAATGGTGTAATTTGAAAATCACACATGATATTAGAAATAATTTCATCCATTATGTGATTTTATAGTTATCGAATTTTAAAGAATTGAATGATAGAAATAGAAGAAAAAAGAACATATCATGTAACTTTTTAAAATACGTAATTTAAAAATCGTATACTGATTTAAAACAATCCGTTACGTAATTTACATGTTTTAATTACATGATTTCATCATGCAACTGTGTGACGTGATTTTTTTCAGTAGGGTTGCTAATTATGAAACGTGTCACTTTCCTATTAACGTGACGATTTCAACAGAAGTAACTTTTGTTATCAACACCTCAAATAGATTGTTTACACTGTTGCTATTCACGCCAAAAGGACTTTGACGAGAACCTCGACGAATCGCCTCCTGGAAGACCGAGGGAGTCACAGAGATGGACGTGAGTTCGTTGTTCAAGGCTAGCGTGAAGGCGGTGAATCTGCGAAACAGGGACCTCGGTACACCGGCAGCAGAGAGTCAACCGCGAAGGGCCAGGAGCAAGAGCACCTTCTGCGTGAAGGCGCACGCGGTGGTCATGCAAATCTCCAAGCTGCGTGAGTTCCTGCTGGAGAACCGCAAGGCCTACCTGAACTTCTCCAACTACCTGTCCGCAGCGCCGCACATGACGGATGCGGAGCGCGACGAGATCGACCTGGGTGCACAGCGGATAATGAGCACCTGCTCGCAGCTGGTCAAAGACTTGAAGCGAGAGATCGCCGCGTCGACGGAGATCACCCAGCAGAACATCGAGCATCGCGAGATCATGCTACTGCTGATAGAGGACTACCTGAAGAACGTCTGCAAGATATACTCGGAGCAGAAGGCGATGCGCGTGAAGAAGGCCATGGAGATGCGAAGGATTTCCAGGCTGCAGGCAAACCAGCCGTCGGCAACGAAAAGATCGGTCCTGAACGCGGTCGATTCCGTGGACGATAATGATACCAAGAACGGCTCGAACGAGTCTAGCCCGATGAAGATCCAGGAAATCAACGGCGACGTCAATACGATGACATACGAGGAGGAATTGTCGGCGGAGGACATCCAGATGTTCGAGTCGGAGAATGAGCAGCTATACAACGAGCTGAACACCATGACTGAGGAGGTGAAGCAGATCGAGAGCAAGGTAGTGCACATCGCTGAGCTTCAGGAGATCTTCACGGAGAAGGTTCTGGACCAAGACAAAGACCTGGACAGGCTAATGACGACAGTGGTCGGATCGACGGAGAACGTGAAGGAGGCGAATGAGCAGATCCGCCAAGCGATCCAACGGAACGCCGGTCTCAGGGTGTGGATCCTCTTCTTCCTTCTGGTGATATCGTTCTCGCTGTTGTTTCTCGATTGGTACAATCCATAAGAGTCGACAGATCTTCGAGTTGTTCTTAAAATACGAGAGTGAGGAAAGGCGATGTACATTTACAAGAGATGTTTGATATCCGTAAAACGTATTTCTGTTATTAAATTATTGAATTTTACTAATTTTCGATATGGATCGTATCAATTGTTACTTTCGTAAAAATGAAAGAAGAGACGTTAAAAGGTTGGAAGAATAGAAAGAAAAAAGAGAGGGAGAAACGTTTGCCAAAAAATATGTTGCTATATTTTATCCCCGGACATTATTGTACATAATAGCTATAACTTACTATATGCGGGGAATAAACAAAATAATATGAATATCTAGGAAATATACGACTTATTTTATATTTTATCAATAAAAGGTTGGCCCACCATTTGCTTTTGATGCATATCTTCTATCTTTGTTGGAATAGAGTCATACAATGCTTAAACAGTTACCAATAAAATATCATACTGCTTTAGAAGAACATCTTTCAATTGCTTATATAAATAATATTGAAGGAAAAAATTTACTTTTCATTTTGTTTTTTAAAATTTTCCTCTATTCTGAAAACTTCTTTCCTGGTCTGTAATCACCTGATTATAGGCTGGGAAAGAAGAGTTAAATAAATCATTTGTAGTTTTGAAGAACAGAATGAGACTTCTTCTTTCGATATCTTTTAATTACAGGATGTTCTGCTGGAAGAATGGTATAATATTACATTGTAGCAATTGCTGCACTATTCAAGCATGTATGATTCTAACAAGGATGGAATCTATAACAGTACGCCAACTTCTTATCAATAAAATAAGTAGATAGAACATCTTTCAATTGCTTATATAAATAATATTGGAGAAGGAAATTTACTTATCACTCTATTTTTCAAAATTGTTCTCTTCTTTAAAACTTCAACATCTTTCTTGGCATATAATAGCCTGATTTAAATATTAAGTTATTTATAGTTTTGAAGAGTAGAGTGAGATTTCCTCCTCCAACATCTTTCAAGCAATTAGAAGAGGTTGTATTGTATTTCTCTGGTATTCACATATTTTGTCAATTTCCTGTACATATATATATATATACACACACACATATATATATATAATAAAATTTGTATAGTATATATTTACTTATATACAACGCGTCTTCGCACATGTGCATGTACAAAAACATACACCTCGGTAATTTACTTCAATAAAACTTGGAGTTTTGCCAATTACGTTTCTAACATCGTGTCCATCAAGATAGTTTTTGTCTTTCATAAAAATATTCTCTTAAGACTTCTGTTTTCTCTCGCTGCAGTTGTAACGAATTATGACAAGTCAGAAACTGGAAATCGGAGAAGTTTGTTCTTATATATTATTTTTCTTTATGTAGAAATGTCTTATATTTTTAGAGAGAATGAATATACTATCGAATGAGTGCAAAAAAGTTAATTTATCTTAAATTTAATAATTTACATTGTAAGGAAATAAATTCACCTCGTTTCTGATCTCTCATATAATTCCACGCGTGAGAAAACAGGAGTCTTATGCCCGTTTCTACCAATGTAGATTAATTTTTATCTCGGTTGAACTTGTTCTTCATCTTTTTCTAATTCTTAGGACTAAAAAGGGATGAAGAGCAAATTGAACCAAGAAAATTATTAAAATTAATATTGATAGAAACGAGCATTAATGTCGTTAAATGAGATAGATCTAATAGACATGTAAACATGTCCGTTTATTTATAAAAAATCGATAGAAAGCGGAGTAAGAACTTATTTATTGATTCCGCGTAGTTTCCTCGAGAATATCGGCTGCATTGACTAAAATCAATCTCGCGTTTCTTGCCTACGTATAAGTGCAATTTGACGTGATACGATTATGCTTGAATTATTGTAAAGATACGATTTCTTAAAATGCTTTACACACGACGAGGATTCACCTATGTCGTGTATAAAACACCTGCGGTTCCCACGCACATGTCTATTTTTATACAAAATCTTACAAAAGTGTAAAGCATTACACGTATCCTCGTACGAGGATGAATTGCCATATAAAAATGCATGAATTTATCAATCAGTCATATCAAAGATACAAATATAAGATAGAAAGAATAACTCGAGGATGTGTCCAGAGAAAATACAATGTAGACAATACATCGCGTATGTTCTGGCGTATCAGAAATTATTAAAAATATTATAAAAAGAAGGAATTCGAAAAATATCAAGATTTACGATTGTAAAGTTATCTTTTCATCTCTTATTGTAATATATGGAAGGCCGGAAAAAAAATGAAAAAAACTTGGAAAACAAAAGAAAATATATTCTAGTAGCCACTTTGATCGTAGGCGACTTACTCACGATTGTAAAAACAACAGCTTTCTAATTAACGAAAACTCCTAATTTGGTATACAAGTATATCTGTAGCGTGGATGGTTTTGTGGGCACAATTTGCCCTCGATTATACACTGAACCACCCACGTGGTGGACAGGATTGGAATATTTAGTTGAATCGCTCTCTTCTGTGCCCACGATGGACACTTCCAATTAGACACGACCACTACAGTATTGGCAAAATCCGTCTCCATGGCATCTGGAAGAAAAAAGATTTCATAAGCTTTTCTATTAATCGTAATTTGAGATAACACACGCATGTGAAACAATTTTATTTGAATTTCTACACATTAATAAATCATGTATTTTTTTATTTTAATATTATACGTATATCGGTAGCTGCTGAATAGTAAATTTGCTTTAAAGGAACTTATAGTTCCTGATGACGAAATAAAATACCTGAGTTTTCCGCGATTATAACTACTGCGCCCGCGTGCTCGCAGACTTGCCGCCAGAATGTAGCAAACTGTGGCAAATTGATGGATGCCAGACTAGGAATTATTACGACGATTTCTGACAACGGTTTCTTTGTATATGTATCATGCCCTTCTACGTAAGCTTTTCTCTGCAAACTCCAGCCGTTTGGAAGAGCAACTTCCGCCTTGTTTATAGTCTTTTTCTAAAAACGTATAGTGAAATGTGAGATTGTTACTCGTGACGCAATTGTTGGCAATTTAATCAAATACAATAATAGACGAAATCATAGTATGACATACAGCGAAAATATCGTAAACGAAACTACACTGAAACAAGATTATGAAAGGAAAATGTATATAATAAAGATATAAAGTAAATCCAACAAATTTTTTAAATAAAATTTACTTTAATACTAAATAACGTTATCTAGATTTATTAGAATAACACTACCTAAGATTTGTAATTTTGGTTATATTTGTTTAAGGTGGTTCTTTAGTAAAGTGCCAAAAATTTGGGGGTGCCTCCCTAGGGCTCACCCAAAATTACAAATATCTGCAATTTGGATAAAATATTAAAACTACATATATATCTTAATGAAATAGTATGGAAGATATAATAAAAAAATCAAGAGCTGTGCAACTTTATCGAACGAAAACAAGATGAGATGTTTATGTTTACTTTTCGAGATTAAATTTATATGCAAGTTTATGTACGTAAATATCTTTCTAGAATGGCCGTTGACCTATTACTTTTTTATGACCATTAAAATCGTAATTTTTTGAATTATTATAATCTCGTTTTTGAGAAAAATCTATGGTAAGATTTGTGTGCAGTGTTAAAGAAGCAGTTCTGAAGAACCATTCCGCGGCAGACGCGTCTCGGCTCGGGTATATTTTATCTTGCATATTTTTGAAAGTGTTGCCGACTTAAAATGGGCCTTGAGAAACATATAGCTGTCTCGCGGTTTTGTACGACTTATCCCTTTCTAGTCCGTTCGTCCTGACGCGCGTCCGTAACGACGTAAGCGCAGGCGTTCGTTGTCCGGGCGGGCATTGCATCTCACTCTTCCATTTTTTTTACATATACGTTTTTTTATTCTAGCCATATTAACATACTACACGTTTTTTACTCTAGCCATATTAACTTCCATGATCTACTGGAGGCAGGAGCCATAATATTATATATAAAAGAAGAACTTAAAGAAGCGTCTGCAAGCCTTATTTGTTGCTAATATGTAAAAGGTTACCTTTCAAATTTTTTTCTCTTAATTCATCATTAACCTACCGTAGAATTTTACACACATCAATTTCGGTACTTCAACTTCAATTATATAAAAAAATTAGATATTTCTATGGTAACTCAAATTACTAAAGAACCATCTTAAGTCTATAATCTTCCTTTTTCTATTTTTATTTAAAAAATGGAATGGCAATTATGAGTAAAGCGATAAAGAAGTAATAATCTATTTTGAGAGAGAGAGAGAGAGAGAGAGAGAGAAAATCCGTATTTTCTTTATATTAAACAGGTAAGGAATTAATGTAGAGAATAGCTAATGTGTAGCGCTACCTCTAAACAGCATCTGATGATATATTCGTGATTGCATATTTTGATGCCGGCCGACAGACATAATATGTTCTTTGCTGTGGTATTTGGCACGTTCGTGATGAGTATTGTGTTCTCATACTCGTTCTCTGGTATCTTCTCGAAATCCTCATAGATCTTCCCGCCGCCTGATATGATCTGCTCGTGAAGTCTTTCGCGTACGAAATGTCGCTTCACCCAATCGTCCTCATATTCTGTTTCGAAATCCGTTTCGGTGGCTTCCGTTTCCGTGTTCGACCCAGTGTTGGTCTTCGTATCCTGATACCTGAAATGGTGCAGAATGAGTTAGTGGATAATGAATATAATTCTTAATTTAAACAAAAAATGCGGATAATGCTTTGTGTCTTAAGAAAGGTAGCTGTATTTTGTTCATTTTTTAATATTTTTATATTATTACAGTGGCTGCCGAAAGTTTTCGGACAACATATAATTTTACAATCATTTTTGTCAATCCGTTTTCAATTAAAATTATAAGTTAATAAAATTCTTTTAATCAATTTAAGAACATGATATTTAAATATTAGAATACTCCATCTAATGTGACCACCCGTTTTATCTTAATGTTATTCTTATTGTTCTGCGTCTAAACGTATTGAGGTGGAGATGTCGAAAATCGATAATTTAAATCGTAAAATATTGATATCTCTACCTTAATACTTTTATCTGCAGAATAATTAGAAGAATCATATTATGTAAAAAAATCATAGAATTCTATTCGAAAAAATGGTCATGGCTTCCATAAAAAATTGATTTTGCCATTATTTCTGTTTCATCAGGCCAAACATACACAGTTCTGTCTGAATATATTTTTATTCGACCTTACCCTGCAAAGATAAAAAGAGTGTCATATTAGATGGAACACACTGTATATTAACAACATTAAAAACTTGTATGCTAGATCTTTATTTTAAAGATTCTTCATCTGAGCAATATAATAAAATTACTCACTAATCTTTTGGTAGTCACTGTATATCTTTATTTATTATGTTAATTCCTCGAGCGTTTAGCATTAATTCTTACTAGAATTAAGATCCCTCCGTTCAATTGCCAAATGAATAGTAAAAGATACCTTTCCAGTTTCTCTAAGGGTATGCAAGTAAGGATGAATGACGTGCCCTTGAAGATGTTGGAGTTCGTAGGGATTGGACCAAGAGTAGCAATCATTTCCGGGTCTTCCTTCTTCTTGCTACGTGATTTGCTCTTGTTCCTACTCTGCGGTCCTTTCGCGATCTGTTCAAACGACGTGCTAATTATCTCTTTCTGTATTCCCATCAGAGCATATTCGTCCTCTGCTTTACTGCGAATCGAGTCGACGTTTGAATCGCTCGACATCTCCTCGCTCTCCGACAATGCCTTTTCCTTCTTCAACTTGGCGGACATGCCGGACACCGAGGGTTCCGGTTTGATTTTACTGGTCGAGTTGCTCGACCCACCAGCGTTGTTCCTGGATTTAGGAGTCGAGGGAAGTGGTGTGCCGATTCTCTTGGAGCGTCGTTTGCCGTCAACCATGTTGTCCAAGGTCACCTGGCCGAGCGCCTTCGGCGTGCTCGGCAGGGAACTCTTACTTATGGTGTCCACTTCTTCCTTTAACACCTGCGCCTGATCAGCGGACAAGGAGATGTTCTGTATTTGCACACGCAATTTCTCGCCCTCGTCAGTCTCTACCGTATAGTGCGTGTCGCCGTTGGTCGACGTTTCAACGTCGATGATGATACCACAAGAACCGTAATCATCAGTCTTCGTGGTCGCGTATACAGACAGACCCTTTTTCAGAATTTTTGGTATCGGTATCACAAACTCGGGTATGAGCATCTTGCTCTTGCCGTCGTAGAAGTTCACCTTATATTTGGCCTTCAGCCGATCGCTCACCGTGCCAAGATAGTAGATGTTGTCCGACCATTTGGCAAACACGTTCTTACCGATTAGCTCGTCAGCCAGCATGCTTCGCGGCGACTTCGCCTGAGTGTCCACATCGTTTACCAGCTGCTCGTCCTCCTCTAACTTACTTTTCTTTTTGCTCGGTGTATCGGTCTCCATGGCGGATCCGTGCAGTGCCGGCTCGTTCGGAATATTTTTGGCGCCGTTCTCGCCGTTGATCTGCGCGGTGATCGATCTCGTCAATTTGCTTCTCGGTCTCTTCGCAGCTTTGCCGCCCTTCTTCGTGCTCTTCGGCGTGACGGTTAATTCCGCCTTCAAACTCGTGGGATGATCCGATGGCGTCGACGAGCGCATATTGATCTTTTCCAAGTGATGATGATGATCGTCCAGCCGCTCGTTGCTCACATTCACGAAAGTATCGAGAATCCCCGTGGGGGCTGTAATGGCAGAGGTATTACTGCTCAGTTCCATGTTTGCGTAATTCAGGACTGTTGTTATGAGCAAGTGGTGGTTCTTCCATTCGTGCGTCAAACGATCGTAAGTCTCATCCAACGTCTGTTTATCCGTCACTGTTGATGGAATGTCCTGGGAAGATTTCTTCGTATGCTTCGGCAGACCCGTTGGCATCGTGAAGAGGTGCCCAGTGTTCTTAGTCATTTTAAAAGCCAAAGAAGCAGCGCTGGACCCCGAGCTTGATGACGACATCATGGACCACCGGGATGGAAAGAGTTGATATAACTGGGGATTGCTGTTCACGGAACCAGGCGACTCCTTGTTGTCGGAGATGTCTGCCAACGAGGACTGACTGTCTTCATTCTTCGGTCTGCTCGACTCGATTACAGGCTCGCATTGCACCACAGTCAACTCTTTCCTCACAAGCTCCTTCGTGTTCTCGTCCATGTGCACTAAACACTTGAGCTTCACGTAGACACCGATCTCTCGCTCTTCCTATAATAGTATAATAGTATTTTCTCAGAGTTGGGAAGTGTTACTTTTTCCATTATTTTTTGTAATTAATGACATTGCAATTTTTTATAACTAAATGTTAAGGTTGTGTCAAGGTTGGAAAAATCGACTTTTTCAATCTTAGCACAACCTTAGCGTTTAGTTATAAAAAATTGCAACGTCATTATCAAATTATTTATTATAAAAAGTAACGGAAAAGGTAATGCTTTCCAACTCTGTATTTTCTCATGTATTTATATGCACTCACAGAAAGGCCTCTGCATTAATATGGAAAAAGTGACTTTGATCAGCATCTTGTAATCTATAAAATATCACAGTTTTAACGAATTTGACGTAAAGTCACACTTTCTATATGATTAATACAGAGTCCTTTTACAATGATTTTTTTTATCATACAATGCTTAAACTGTATAAATTCAAGAAATATTAAGTATAAAAAACTGGCTTGACTATAGTATTTTCCACTCATGTATGTGAAATTTTTATGTAATATTTTATATTTTCATTTATTATATAGCATAAAAACTATATTTTATTATTTCAGTGTTGATCCAACCGTCCGTTTGTTTATTCATCCAATTGTGTGTAAAATTTCTCCAACTTTTTCAAATTTTGTTTTCAGCAATAGATACTCAAGAATTTTAGTTTCGTCAAAACAAAATAAGTCAAATCAGTCCACCATAAGCGGATCAAAAGTCAAGGTCAATTTTAACGAAATTCTTGCAATAATTACAGACTTCATGCTACTTAATATTACATCTATTCTAAAACATTTATCAATTTATTAATTAATTCATGTATTATTTATACAGGAGGGGGGGGTGGGCGCACTTAAATTGAACAGAGTATCTCTATCGGTCGCTTACCTGCTTGATCTTCCCCAGCGTATTGTTATAAATCAGATCAGACTTGTTCTTCTCCTCCACGTTAGACGTTTCGTGATCGCTTATGCTAATGAGTTCGATATTGTCCACGTTTTTAACCTCGAAAGAGACGCTTTTGATACTATCTACCTTCTTCATATTATGCGCGGCAGTTGTCGCTGCAGCAGGCAGAATCTGCTCCTCACTTACGGAGAATGTATCAGAGTCCAAGCTTACGGTTGTGTCGGCGTCGCTCTTTTTGGACTCGGCGCTGCCATTCACCAGTCTCTTGTCCGATGATTTCGATTCCTGGGATGACCCGTTCATACTCTCCTTGTAACTGCTCTTGTTCTCGTAACTGCTCTTTCCCTCGTAACTCTTGTCCATGACCTGAATTTCAGAAACCTCGATTTCTTTCTTCTCTAACAAGCTCAGGATCTTCTCGCCATCCTCGTGCGAATCGTCGATCTGAACAACTTCCGGTTTCTTTTTCATACTCTGACGATCGTATACCACCTCGGTTGACGAGTTCAATATCTTTTCGTCGTCGTCATCGATCTCCACTATTTGCGGTTTTGATTTACTATCGACGGTTCGGTTTATGTTCTCTATCGATATCAATTCTACGCTGCTTCGCGACTTGATTTGTAAGGATGGGATCTCCTCGTCATTCTTGTCAACAGTCTTCTTGGTCAGCTTCACGCAGTTCGACTGATTATTTTCATCGGACGCTGTTTCTGTATCTTTTACAAGCTCCGGCTTGTCTAATGTTCCGATTTCGGATTTTTCCATTACAGCATTCGTGGAAGTAACATCTTTTTCAATCGACATATTATTTTCTTCCAGAAGATCATTTTCGCTTGTGGAGTTGAAGTTGACAGTGGTACTATCATTATTACTGATGTCTGTAAGTTTTGCAGAGACATTCAGATTCTCGTCTTTTCCCACGTCGCTTTTCTCGTCCTGCTGATTTGTCTGCTCGGCATGATGCTCCTGAGCCTTGTCGTCGTTTGTCGTTTCTGCTGCGTGCTCAGTGAGAGTTTTCAGAGTGTTCTGAGTAAATTCTACAGTAGCTGGCTCTTGGGTCTCCTCTATTATAACATTCTTGTCCATATTTTTGAACAAGTCCTGGTAAGAATCATCAGATCCACAAGACTGACGACTCTCCTCTTCGAGTCGCTTCTGAAGCTTTACTTCATCCTCCTCAGACATTTTAGGGATCTTGGCAGGTGGTTCGTCAAATGCACTAGCTTTACGTTTCAGATTAACGTCGGCACTGTCTATTTTTCTAAGCGATGAATAACTCTGAGGAGGCGTACCTTGGATAATCTCATCCTCATCAAAGAGCTCATCTTTTTTCTCTGACTCAAATAACTCACTGGATACGTTCTCCGTAGTCTTTTCAAGTCTAGCATCGCTTTCCGTTACTTTTTCATCTATGATAGATTCGTCTTCTTTGTCATTTGCAGTTATCGCGTTACTCTCTTCCATTTGCAATGTTTCTGGAATTTGTTGCGCATCCGCTTGGTCAATTGACTTCTCATGATTGGCCTTTCCAGCCTGTGTCTGCTTTAACTTCTCTACTATACTTTCGTCTCCTTCAGAATCGACAAGACGAAAATCTTGACTCTCGTTCAAGCTTGTCTCTTGGGTCTCGCTAGTAACTTTCAAGCTTTCATTGACGTCTTCGTGACGGGTCTCCTGCGTGTCTGGCACGCAAGTATCTGGTTCCACAGGGTTAGACATTTTTAACAGATCGTGACAAGTGTTCTGAAAATAAAATATAAATTAATGTAAATTATAATACGTAAAAATTAGAAAAATAAAATCGTAAACGCCTAAGATAATATTGTTAAACCTACACTGAAAAAAAAAATTAGCTAAATCTGGGTAAATATTTCTTTGAATAATTCCAAGTACACATTTATTTACAGCAAATAAATATTTGCCCAATAAAATATAATGATACTTAAATCAAATTAATGATTCTTGCATCAAATAAATATATGTTTACATTTAGTAAATAATTTACTTGGAAAAATATTTACTTAAATTTAGTTTTTTTTTTGCTGTGTACAGAAATGTTTTATTTACTCTAAAAAAAATTGCAGTTTAACAAATTAATAGTGCATGTTAAGGACTGCTTTATATGAAGTATCTAAATGTAGTGGCATAATATAATCAACTTTAACAATGAAATAAGTGAATATCTAACATGAAAATTAAATAACATGAAAATATCATCATAAAATATTTCATCGTTGAAAATATTTAATATCCTGATAAAAATAGAAATCATAAGTTGAATGTAATAGGAGAGTAACAATAGAGTTTTAAGCCTTAAGCCATAACAAATGGATGGATCATAATTATTCTCTTCGAATTCGACTATAATTGGTCAATTTCTTACGACTTAAGGCTTAAAACACCTATTAGTAGATCCAGGATAATAGAAGCGTAAACAAAATTTCTAGGAGGCAAAAATTAAAACGGAATGTAAAAGAACCGTAAACGCCCCTTACAAGCGTTATTCTCCCATTACATTCGACTTACGCGCCGATTTTTATTTTTACCAGGACAATTATTCAGTTGAAAAAAAATTTTTTTTTCCAAAATTTCGAAAATCACTCAAGTTAGTTTGACGAAACTTTCTATAAATTTAAAGTTTCATCAAAACGCAAATCTCGCGTGCGTGCAGCGAGTGTTTACAACTTGTTTGCGTTGCTTGCACCTTTTGTACTCAGCATCTTCGCTCTCTCTCTCTCTCCCTCTCTCTCTTTCTCTCTTTTCAACGCTCGATATCTATCTCTCTCGTTTTAAGTACGAAAATTTTTGGATTTCAAGCAACGCGAACAGACTTAATGGCGACGAAAGGTTACGGCGGGAACGTCTCCCGAGGCGAAGCAAGCCGGCGCAGAGCGAGAGAGACCGCCCGAAATCTAGGAAGAACTCAACGCGTGCGACGCGACGTCCGCACCGGGCCGCCGGGGAACATTTCCACCGCGAACGCGAGATATCATCGCATTGGCCTACGTCGCCGCGAGGGAACGATTCTGCCGGTCGCCTAGAGTCGGCGAACCTCCCTTCTCGAACTTCGGTCATACCTCTGATGGCACGCGTGAAACGGAATACTCCCGCAAGGGACAATGCGAGATGCATCGAGAGAACCGAGTACCCGTGAAGTAACTGGCGAGTATACTGTTCTTCTTCTTCTCTTTATTCTTCCTCTCCTTTAACGTTGTTCGTTCGTCAGACGGCACAAGAGCGAAATGACACCCGCCATATCTTCGCAGACGGCGTGGCTGGTGACTCGCGGGAACAGCGGGTTTTATGTTATACCATAATTTAAATGTATTCAATGTTGCGACACCGAGCGGTTAAATTAGAACTCAATACGATTGGTCGAATTTAAAAAATAGGAACCAATGAGGTGCTTCCATATGCGGCGTGATTTGCGCAAGCGTAACTTCCGCCAGCCAATCAAATCGTCTCGGCGTTTAAATTTGAACCATTAGCCGCGTTCAGCGGAACGTAACAGTTTTGCAACTTTTATGATCCTTCAGGAAGAAAGACTAAGGAGACTTCACTAACGTTAATAAAAATGGATTGATTTTGCGTTTCGAGATAGGGCCTGCGCACAATAGAGGAACAAGAATTAGATATTAAGATTTCAACCTATCAGAAACCGCGTATTCCGATGTAATCAGTTTCTGATAGGTTGAAATCTTAATATCTAATTCTTGTTCCTCTATTGTGCGCAGGCCCTTAAGTTTCGATTCTCGACACTTACGGCACTTGTGAACTTTGGGTGCTTTCCATTTGATAACACAAGTCGACACAAGTCGACACAAGCGTCGTTCTATCCTTGTTGACATTCAGAGAGTGACAAAGATAGAATGACACTTGTGTCGACTTGTGTCATCAAATGGAAAGCATCTATTTTTATTTATATACCATTCATGTCCATATAGATTTCCATACATTGATAGGGGGTGATCCCGATTGATCACGGCTCGATTGGACACCACCAATCACAGCGACCGGTGCTTAGGAGCTTTGTAGTCTCAAGCGCTGTGAGTGGCTCGTGTCCAATTGAGCCATGTCCAACTGGGTGCCACCCCATTGGTCGCGTTCAGCAGACTCAACTGTTGTGGAGCGGATCCGTGAGCGCTCGCTACTATTGGATGATCTAGAAGAATACTCCAATAGCAGTGAGTGCTCACGGATCCGCTCCACAACAGTTGAATCTGCTGAACGCGACCATTGATAGTACACTGCTGTTCGTTAATCGAATCCCTCGAGTGTAGGAGGGTGGAGAAGTGTGTAGCTCCCAATGGTATGTATATATGTACATACGCGCGCTCATCTGCACCCAAGTGCGACTAAAGTGAGACTCGATTATTGATTAGCAGTGTACATCGATCGATACATCGATCGCAACGCGCGCACGAACGCTTCTGATTCACTTAAATATTTGACCCGCTCAAAATGGCGACTGCTCAATTGCGGCCACGAATTTTCCTCGATGTCCAGTGTATATATAGTTCAGTGCTCGGGTGTCATGTCATCCTTGTTTAACGTTAGATAAACAACAAGGATGATATGTTTTCTGTTCTTGCACTAAAGTGCACTACAAGTCTCTTTCTCGCTTTCGACAAATACCAAACATATATTTCACTTTAAGTTCCAACAGTGTACACTGGTTCAGTCACAGAAAACAGATCTATGACAGATCTATCCGTAGATACCCCTCTAATCAGAGTCGCGACACGAGGAACGGAGACTCTAGTTAGAAACTCTCTTTACCCCGGATCTACAATAGGTGTTTTAAGTTTTAAGCCGTAAGAAATTGACCAATTACAGTCGAATCCGAGAAGAATAAACGACTGTGATTCGCCCATTTCTTATGGCTTAAGGCTTAAAACTCTATTGTAGATCCGGACTTATGGTCTCTTTATATTAAGGCGTCGTCTACAATACACGGAGTAAGAAGTAGACTAATCACAGTCAAATGTGAGAAGAATAATCGACTGTGATTGGTCAATTTCTTACTCTTACTTCTTACTCCGTGTATTGTAGACGGGCCTTAAGAGTCTCTAGTTTTAGCAAAATCACAACAAAGAAAGAGGAAAATGTTGTGTCTCTTTCTAACCTTCATAGTTCTCGTGTGAGTCGTGATCCCGTAAAGGCCCGTCTACAATACATGGAGTAAGAAGTAAGAGTAAGAAATTGACCAATCACAGTCGATTATTCTTCTCACATTCGACTGTGATTGGTCAATTTCTTACTCTTACTTCTTACTCCGTGTATTGTAGACGGGCCTTAAGATACGTCTTTCTATAGTACGACTTTTAGAACATTATTGAAAATTATTGCAAAATAGTTGGGTGTAGAGTCTTATTTTGCAATAATTCTGCAGCCAAAGGCTACATAATGAGAATATTTCCGCGTGATGTTGAACATTGTGCATTACCCCGGATCTACAATAGGTGTTTTCAGCCTTAAACCGTAAGAAACTGACCAATTACAGTCGAATCCGAGAAGAATAAGCGACTGTGATTCGCCCATTTCTTATGGCTTAAGGCTTAAAATCCTATTGTAGATCCGGGGTTATGGGCGACAAATGTTGGAAAAAATGTGCGTTCGGGGAGATGCTATTAATGCTATTTCTGTCATTCTATGCTTGTTTTGGTTGGAAAAATTGATTTTTCACAAAATAGATTAGTTTGCAAACGATTTTTAGCGTATCGATACACACATCGCCCATTCGGGAGGATCCCGTTTGCCTACAGTTCTGATTGTACACACCACTCATATCAACTGGTGCCTAGTAATTTTTCACTGTTTTGCCAATGAGATTATTTTATTTTTAAATTGGTCAATCAGCGATACATGTGTGCGATATGCGATGTGTGCAATCGGAGCCCTCCCGCCCATCCTACAATGGCTGTGGTCCGATTCATGCTGACAACGCTCATGAGCATTGTTTGTCTTCGTTTAACATTTAACAAACAACAAGGATGAAATGATTTTTAAGCGTTGTGAGCGTGAATTGGACCGCGGTCAATATTGACATTCGAATATTGGCGGGAATTGCTGAAAAATGACGGACCAATCAAAATTGGCTGTTCCTCATGTCGCAACTCTGATTAGAGGGTCTCTCGACATCCGGAGAGCACCCAAATGGGAATTCGAATGCAACCTAAACCCGTAATCACAGGTTCTCGACTCTGGGGGCTCCGCACAATAAAAGAAACAGGGAACAAAGAATAAGAATTTCAACCTATCAGAAACTGTGTATTCCACAATACATTCTGATAGGTTGAAATTCTTATTCTCTATTCTCTGTTCCCTCTGTTCCTTTTATTGTGCAGAGCCCCTGATTCCCGACTCCAAATCGGTCGAATAGAGTGATTTCTATTCTCTAGTCGACAATCAGAGTCGGCTGTTGCCTTTCTGTGATTGGTAGAATGATAGTCGGGAGTCCGAGTCAGTAGTCAAGTTAGAGTCGGGAGTCTGTAGTGTGATTACGGCTTAAGATGACTCCCCACTCTCCAGTTGATCACAAATTCACAACCAAAGACATAAAGAATGGACTGCGCGATCCGTATCTTAGGGTGCGGTCCACTTGGCGCTACAAATGCTTCGAATCGTTTGAAGCGTTGTTTTAACCGGTCCACATGGCGCTTCAAATGTGTCCCAATAGCACGTATGACGTCATTAATACATCACAGGTTTCCACTTCCACCTTATTTTCAATTGCTTCCAATGCTACTGCTTGGAGAGGGGTGGCACCCAGTTGGACACGGCTCAATTGGACACGAGCCACTCACAGCGCTTGAGACTACAAAGCTCCTAAGTACCGGTCGCTGTGATTGGTGGTGTCCAATTGAGCCGTGGTCAATCGGGATCACCCCCTTGGAGAGGTAGTTTAACTGAAGCGTTTAGTTTGAATATACAAAGCGCGGGAAAGCATAATAATAATCGAACGAAAGTATATTTGTAAAGCTGATTGAAATTTACATATTATTATATCGTGGCATCGTGCTACATATATTACTACAAATAGTGCTGGTATATTGTGTATATTATATTATTAAAAATAAAAATTGTATAAACTATGCCGATTATAAGGTTACATGAAGGAGATACCGGAATGATTCATAATCTAGAAGTTTCCGAAGAGGATGCTATTATCTTCATCATAAATATAAGTAAGCGATTCTAAAAAAAACTTCGCACGTTAGCATAACTTTCATTTTATTCGTAATTGCAAAATACGTACTAACGCTTCAAAACGCTTCAAAAATTGGTCCATTTGCATACTGTTGGCAGCATTAGTAGTGCTAATGGACCGTTCTATAGAAGCATATAAAAATGAAAACGTTTGAAGCGTTTGTAGCGCCAAGTGGGCCGTACCCTTAGCCCGGATCCTCATACGGGCAACAGCGCTTTGACACAGAGCGCTAATTGGTGAAAAGCCGGTTGTGGGGGTAAAATTTACCCGCATCACCCGTTTTTCACCAATCAGCGTTCGGTGTCAAAGCGCTGTTGCCTGTATGAGGATCCGGGCTTAGTAGTGTATCAAATGTGGTCGACAATAATGAGAGAGAGAGATCGTGGGAGACGGCCAATCTTCTTCTCATTCTCTCTCTCATTACGCCATTGAATGGAAAGAGATAGAAATGGCCGTCTGCCACGGTCCCTCTCTCTCATCAAATCTCATCCCTGGTAGCAAGCTACGTCATTTTGACGTCATTTTGACGTCAGCTTGCTACCAGGGTATCGACGATTTTGACACACGGATCGCGCAGTCCATTCTCTCTATGTCCTTGATTACAACAGTGGTCGGTGATCCACGATGATCGCACTTGTTTTCACTAATTTCACTGGTTTCCACCATGGTATGCTCGATCGGTGCTCTTGCGCATGGTAACGCCCACCAACCAATGAGTATTGGCACCTTGCCTACGTCATGACGTCATCATTACGCGGCAAATTCAAATGATTAAAAATGAAGTAAACCATGGTAGCGTCAATTCATTAAGATAAGCGAAAGGATTTTAAGAGAATGATGAGTAATAAGTATAAATTTGTGTAATTATTTTTGTAATATTTCGGTAATTATTTTTGCATCCTTTCACTGCACAAACACTCATTGTAGCCAGACGGAACGGCTCCAAGCCGTCATAGCAGCCTTATTTCAGCCGGCCGAAGTGCTTCGAACGTAACCGAGATTGCACGAATGTGACGTAGGCAAGGTGATGTGCAGAGGCCTCCTAAATTCGTCCATCGAGCATACCCTTGTATTTGTATCATTGTTTCCACTTGGTTCTCATCACTCGCCTGGGTAAGAGCTAAGAGCTATAGTGGAGCTATAGTCAGTAGTGTGCATGAAATAAAATCGTGAATTGCTTCTTTATTTTTTTCAAAATATCTACATAGTTTCGTGGTGTATTACAATATTGTTTGATACATAATATAATTTAGCGTTGTTATTATTGGACCGTGTACATTCTATAATTATTGTTATGGCGAGTGGGTCATCAGCGAAAAAAAACGAGGTGTTGTGCAGAGATGATCTAGGCTATCAAAAATGGTAAAATTTCATCTTTTCTTTTCCCCAGCCTTTTCTCTATTCCTTGATAAAAATGAAAATCCGAGCGTATAAGTCGAATGTGATGGAAGAGTAATAGAGGCGTATAAACGAAGTTTCTAGAAGATGAAAATTGAAACAACTCCGGACCTCTTTTACATTCCGTTGTTTCAATTTTCGCCTTCTAGAAGCTTCGTTTCTATTATTCTCCCATTACATTCGACTTACGTTCCGATATTTATTTTCACCAGGGTTTTTTCTCATTTTTAAGCAACACGTGTTTCTGCCGGACAAATTGGAAGTATATAATTGTGACCGCGTGTTGAATTCGGGAATAGGAATGCCCGTATTCGGAGCTTTATCGATAAGAATTAAAGTCGTTGTCGTATTTATAATTGTAATAAATTATTTTTTCGAACACAAATTCTATCTTTCTTTGCATTTTACGAGTAAGAAAAACGGAACGATACTTGTATTTACATGTATCGCGCTAAATGGAAGGCATCCGCATAGCAAATAATCCTACAAAATTCTTCGATTCGATTTAAAAAAATGATCGATTATAGAATAATTCCTACAGCACAAAGTTGCACAAAAGTTGCAGCAATATTTGCTACAAATTCTATACTGTATGGGAAGTAATTCGATTCAATTCTTATTGTCGGCGTTTCACGAAAATTCTATGAACGCTTCTCGAAAATTCCTTTTGTGCACGTGTATAAGTCGATCGATACTTTTTCTACTTTTAAGCGCTCGGCTTTTGTTTTTGTTTTTTGCGAAGATGATATTGACTGCTTTTCACAGTTGACGCAAACAATCCTTGACATTTAACGGCTGCGTTCGGCAGACTCAACAGTTTTGCAACCGTTTTGTGATTCTTCGCTGAGATAGGACTATTCCTTTAAATCTAAAAGTATAATCCAATCAACGCGACGAATCATAAAACTGTTGCAAAACTGCTGAGTCTGCTGAACGCAGCCAATGATAATAAAACAGTTAAAGATAGAACGATACTTGTGTTGACTGAAAACAAAAGCAGCATTTTATAACAATCCGCATTAGACCGGAATCAGACTATGCATTGAAGATTGAGATTAAAGATTAAAGATTGAAATTTCACCAATGAGGACGAAGAAATTTTGGTTCCTTTTGTTCTGATTGGTCAAACTTCAATCTTTCAATCTTCAATCTCATTCTTCAATGCATAGCAACGCTGATTATGACTATAGCCCACTTGATTGGCCAAATATTTCGAAGCATTTTTTGATTGGTCAATTTTTTGAATTTTTTGTTCAACGCTCCTTTATTCACGACATAGTGGGAGTAACTTCGCCAGTTTTTATTCACTCCGTGAAAAAGATAGAGGCGATAGCGAACAGCTTTTTAAAGCTGCTTTGCGTAACGATCGAATGGGGATAAAACGCCAGTTTTTACTCGCTGCGTGAAATTGTGCCTTAAAAGTTTTACAGCTTGTAGATTGAAAATAAGCGTGAGATGGGAGATTCAGATTATAGAACGAACAATACTGTCAATTTGTGGAATTAAGAGATTCGTTCACGTTGCTTGAAATCCTCAAAAATGTACTTAAAACGGGATAAACATACATTCGGGAGTTGAAAAAAAGAGAGAACGAAGATGCTAAATGCAAAAAGTGCAAGCAACGCGAACACAGACCTAAGATTTAAAGTATAGAAGAAAACATTTCTCCTAAAATGAAATTACATGCTTTGCAAGGACTTACTTTTTTCCTCTTTTACGCATTCGAAAATCCTTTTCCAAGCTCAAAGTATGCACATTAATATGTGTTATTCGTGTCTGTGAGGTGGAATTTATTCCGAGAACGACAAAAAATTTCGAAATTGAAATTTTAAGAAAAATTTTTTGTCGTTCTCGACATAAACTCTACCTCATATATATATATATATATAGACACGTATTAATGCGTATACTTTAAGAATATTATTAAGAATTATTAAATGCTCACTTTAATGTTGAGCGCTTACAGTTTTCTCCACTGAACGCGTATTAAATAAATTTGCAACTTTTTAGGTAAAATAGGATTCTGACAATTGTTGCTTTTCACGCAAGATGAATAAATTATTTTACTGATTATTTACTATTTTTTTTACTATTATACTTGATATACATAGAGGAAAAGCCCCCCTGTTATGAGATACCGAGTTCATTTTGGATAAATGCTAGAAGTCTATAGGCAGAATTAAAAAAAATAATTGGTCATTTTGAAGGGAATTTAATAAGCTTTAAGATAACGTTACATAAAATTTAATTCAAATTCCATTTTTTTTTAAATTAAAGAGATATAAAAAGTGAGCAAATTGCAAAGTCAAAAAATTGTGCTTCTAATATAAGATGCCCTGAGAAATCGATAGTAAAACGCAAAGTATATCAGTATTACAATTAGAAAACTTTATTTAATATTTCTAAACTACAAACAAACGCAGCCAGCGTGTACGAAAAATGAGCATGCGATAGATTATACCCAGAACTCGTTTTCAAGTAGTTGGAATCAAGCATCGCAGATATAAACACTCGACGTTCATTCCGGTTGTCTTTTTTTATTATTGTACAATAACATTTATACTTTAGCAACGATTTTCACTATAACATAGGAGCATGGGTTATTTTATATATTAGGAATATCCTGGGTATCTCATATTACGATTTCCACGCTTTATGGTTTTACGATCATCAAATCTAATTTCTGTAATTGAACAATTCAACATATCCCGTATTTTTCTATTAGTACGACCCTACTCTATCACTACATGAAGAATTTATTTTGCCAAATATTTATTTATTAAATAATAAACAAGGTTTAAATGCTCATCTCAATGAAACTCGAAGACATCCAAATTCTAAAATCTTGTTTTACAATGACTAAAACGGGCATGACTAATAATGAATTTTCTACTAAATAGTTTTCAATTCAAGAGCAATAAATTCATGGTGGAACCAATAGATAACGTTTATTTGTTTAACAGAAACGCCGCTATCTCATATTAGGCGCCTATCTCATAATAGAGGGCTTTCCTCTATATATAATATTGTATTATTTTTTATTAAAGGCTCGCGGAGCGTTCGTGCAGCAAATATTCACACTTACTGAAGAAAGGTGAAATAATTCATACTGAACACCCAGAAAAAGTGGATTACATGTTCGAGAAAAAAATAAAGATGTTACTTGTTGACTGTGATCTTGCTATTATTTTGTTAACAGAGGATGGAGAAGTATATTTCAGAATTAATATCTCTAAAGGAAAAATTTCGCTAAAATTATTTCACGTTTTGAAATACTTTTTAGCAAGTTGGATTTCAGCATGTTAGAAAAATTTCATTTTAATTTAGCTGATTTTTAGCTGAAAAATTAATTTTCAGGAAAAATTTCAAAAAAATTTCAACAAAAAATTCAGAGAAATTTTAATTCAATTTCAGCGATTTTTTAGTATGTTGGCTGAAAAATTTACTTTCAGTGAAATTTTAGCAAATTTTCATTAATTTCATTGAAATGTCAATTTCATTCAAAACGTGAAATAATTTCAGTGAAATTTTTTCACCAAGAATACTAAAAATGTTTAACACGTAATTATATATAATAATATATTACTGATTTTTCATTAAATTTAATGCTCTTAATATTTAAAAGTCATATTTATGGACATACATAGCATATGTAGAAAAATTATTTTTATTTCTTAATAATTAATAGAACACATTTGGAAATGAAAAAAAAATTGCTTTAGGATTCAAATGAATTTTATTTTCGTAAAAATGTTTCGATATTTAATAGTAGAGATTTGACATATTTGTACATTCTCTACAGTTACTTTAGTAATCTCATAAAAAACGGATTTGATGCATTTTATATATAATTTATAATATGTTGTGATATTTTTTTTGTAAAATTACATTTTGTGTAATTTTCATACATAAATGTAAGAAGAAATTATAATTGTTACCAACGTATCTAATAATTTTAGAATTTTTGCAGATATTTAGGAAGATTAGTATGAATATATAATAGTGCATCAGTTTATCTTTTATGATATTTTACGTATAAAATGTATGAATTATAAAAATTAATAAATATCAATCTTATTTTTGAAAGGTGTATCACTGGTACGACGTTACATGGACTGACCTTAATTTAGAATATTATTCTCAAATAGTTGATTTAAGATATTCACGTATTGTACAAAGTGCAGTTGGTGGCAACCAAACTTTTATCGTTTTAACTGATGATCAAAAGGTAAGCTAACGACCGAACTATTACGATAATAATATTTAATTTTAGGTATTAAAAGTTGTTTAATCTATTTTCAAGGTGTTCTATTTCCAAACCTATTACTTTGATAATATAAGCCGGATGAAACAGATGCATTTTCAGAAAAAGGTCGAGTCTGTTTGTTGTGGTGACAGTTTCTTCATAGTGCTTACTGAAGACAATAAGATATACACCTGGGGAAGAAATCATCATGGTCAATTAGGTGTTTCTACGTGCAAGGACGAATTCATAAGCAATCTACTTGAAATTAAAAAGATAGGCATTCGCATAAGTAATTTTTTTATTTTGAAAGTCCATTTCTAAAGATGATTTATGAAGGAAATGAAGGATTTGTATACACTGTTGACTAATCTATATTTGATGTTGACATTTTAGCAAAAATAGCCTGTGGCTATACACATGTACTCGCGTTATCTACAGAAGGAAATATTTTCGTCTGGGGTGGAAACTCTTTTGGACAATTGGGTTGTAATTCTAGAAATGACCTCCATAATCCTCAAATGGTAAATGATTTGTTATAATTATTGTAAGAATAGAAATGTAAAACAGAAAATAAAGTAAAAAATTTGGGAATTAACAGATTACGATAACGGTTAAACAAATGAAAATATTGGATATTGCTGCCATGAAAAATGTGAGTTGTGCCATAAGCGAAGAAAAACTTATTTACGTGTGGGGCAACTGTTTCGATCAACAAATTCAGATACCTTTTTCCTGTGAATACACGACTCTATTTGACATATGTAACGCGATGTCTGCCAGACCGCCAACTACTGTGAAAGACTTTAGACAAACCGAGAAGCATATATTACTGCAAGATATCGCAAAGGCGTTTAATGATCCTGTAAGTTTTGTTCTGTGTATCAGTCTATTCTTCTTAATGGATTTCCGACTGTTAGGCTTACAGTATGACTTACTTTTAAATTCTTACATGTAATTGATTCAGACCGGTAAGCTTTCGAAATTCTTGGACTTATAAATGATATATGATATGTAGAAGCCGCAGGCAAGTCGTTTATAAAAATTCTTTACTTGCTTCCTTGCATTAAAATAAATTACTGTGGCGCTCAATTCTGTTTTTTGCTTTGTGTAGATTTTTAAGCATGCTTAAAAAAATGTGTATACAGGATGTATCTGAAATAACGTCCACTAATCATACAGTGCTATTTCTAACAAAAAACTGAGTCGAAAAGTCTTCTACCATTTTGCAATTTTCGCAATATTATTTTTTAATTACCCAATGAGCAAAATATCTAACATCGACGTATAAAAGTTTAAGATATCTTCAAAAGTTCTTTAAGAAACATCTTCAAAATATTTCACAAAGAATACTAAAAAACATCTTAAGGCCCCTGAGTAGTCGCGGCGGCCATGTTGGAATCATGACGTCAGAAGCGAGGAATGACACGTTAATTTATGCACGATGCCATTTGTAAATAAAGACAATTTGGATGAACGAAATGACGAGATCGCTTTAAAGTACTTGTAAAAATCGATGAAAACTGTTCTTTCCTCCCTTGATAGTCAGTAAATGGTCGTAAAAGACCCGTAAAGTGAGCCTATATTCTGGCAGAAACACACGGTTTAACAGCTGTTAAAACGAGTTATAGCCCTTCTACAATAAGCCGCAAGTCAGAAGTTCTAAGCGATCTTAAATCATAATCGGTGAAGTTGGCCAATAGCCAACTTGAACGACTTGGTTAAGACTGGTTAAGACTTTCGACGTTACTGACTTGCGGCTTATTGTAGAAGGCCTATCACACACATACAAGCACGAGCCCATGTACATGTGCTCACTTTCGCTGCGCCGAGAGCATATATGTACATGGGGTCGTACTTGTGTGTGTTGCTACCGATTTCGCCACATTTCGCCAGGCCGTCGATTGATTTTAAATCACACGTTGACTACTTAGGAGACTTAAAATTATCTTGTATATCGATTTTATCCATTTATTCGGCTAACCTTTAAAAATTAATATCTCATTAACTATTGCGAAAATTGCAAAATGGTAGAGGAATTGTTGACTCAGTTTTTTATTAGGAATAGCACTGTATGATTAGTGGACATTATTTCAGATATACCCTGTATATATAACGCATATATGTTATAATGCATATATGCATATAATGTTATATGATATTCATTATCTCAAGTCTTTTTGTTATACAAGATATTATCTATTTATCTTTAACAAATTTATTTCTTTGCTTCTAACAGGATTTGAGCGATCTTGTGATAAAAATCGGACAGCAATCTATTTATGTCAACAAAAATATCCTACAGTTTCGTACTTCACATTTCAAAAAGATAGACCAATTTATAAGCTCTGAAGATGGTCAAGAGTAAGTATTTATATAAAAGCACATGTTATTAAAAATGTTTTATATTTGATTTTTTATGTATGATTTCCTTATAGTGTCATCAGGCTTAATGGATTTTCCTATGCCATGTATAATAGCTATTTCAAATATTTATATACTGGCATAATTGATGTATATCTGGAAGAGAGATTTAGTGAGTTCGAGTTTAACTAGAGATCGTACAGTCACTCCATTATTATTGCTTACAATTCGTAACTAAAAGCATTTCGTTACAGATCTCCTGACATTAGCTGATTCATTGAACGATAATAAGTTCAAAGAAAGTTGCTATAGGGCGATAAAGAAAGACATAATAGATAAAACTGTATTTTTTATTTACAATGTGGCGCAAAAGTATAGCAACGAGGTATGTAACTAGCAAACTCACTTTTTTTTAGTAATAAATTTCGTTTTAACAACTGATTTCTGTCTTCTAAAAGAAAGTATCACAATTTATAATAAAATTGTATTGATATATTAATCAATTATAGAATATTTTTCTTATTTCTATTACAGTAAAAATATTTTTCCAAATTTGTTTTATGTCATATAGAGGGGGGAGTGGCAAGATCGCAATTGTCTTCGAATGATTTATTAGATATGCAACTTTTCTCTGTTAAGCTCCGGCGAATTTTAGTATTGCACTTAATACTAAAATTCATGAACTGCAAAAAAGTTATTTTTGTTGTGCATACTTATTTATTTACTTATTATACGTATTAATTTATTATTATATGTATTTATTTATTGTACATATTCCACATAATTTGCAGACAGTAGAGAAGTTTTGTTTTGAGTATTTCCAACAACATAAAAGCCATGTGATGGAGACGTTGAATTTTTTGGAATTAAATGAAGATATAAGAAATATTTTTATGACTCTACCGAACAAATCTGAATGAAGAACTTAATCGTTACTAGTAAGACGTAGTGTTATATATTTTTTTAAATGCATTAGTATTGGTATAATTTAATCTTTTATTTTTTTTAAATTTAAGTATTGATGTAATTTTCATTTAGTAAGATAAAAAAAATTCTATGTAAAAAATGGAAAATTTTTTATAATATTCTAGAATAGCAAATTTTTTAGAATATTATATATATAATAGAACATTTTTTAGAATAATAGAAAAATAATAGAAATAAGACTGATCACTTCTGAGGCTGTTTGAATTTTGTATTATTGCATCTATGATTGTAACAAATACACCTAAAAACAATTTTTAAATTGCGAATTTTAATTAAAACTTTTTTATTAAAAAACGTGATTAATCGTTTTTCAATAAAAAATTTTGATTAAAATTCGCAATTTAAATAACATTGTTTTTAGATGTATTTGTTATAATCATATTATATATATATATATATATATATATGCACGATAAGACAGAATTCGTAGATAAGGCAACAGGAGTCAACCTCCAGTTATCAAAATTAACAAGAATTTATTACATCAATAACATTATACAACCTCGTACGTTTCGACTCCTGTTTGAGTCATCTTCAGCAATACAACTCTGATAAGCACATCAATAAATTAATCGCAGTCAAAACTTTATATTCTCTATTTCCATTGTATGCGATTACTGGAATATTCGTGAGGCCATGAGCACGTTGTCCATCACAGTTACTAGGCTGAGTAGCGATAAAAGACTCGGTCTCACGAAATCAAACATGTCGCAACAAAAATTGATATAACGTAATAGAGAAAAGCAAAAACATCGCAATTTTTCAATTTTAAATTTCTCGATTAAAATTGGAACATATCTACATCACGACTAAACAGTATAAACGCTGATGTAGATATGTTCCAATTTTAAGTGAGACTGAGTCTTTCATCGCCAGCACTCAGCCTAGTAACTGTGATGGACAACGTGCTCATGGCCTCACGAATATTCCATAATCGCATACAATGGAAATAGAGAATATAAGGTTTGGCTGCGATTAATTTATTGATGTACTCATCAGAGTTGTATTGCTGAAGATGACTCAAACAGGAGTCGAAACGTACGAGGTTGTATAATATTATTGATGTAATAAACTCTCGTTAATTTTGATAACTAGAGGTTGACTCCTATTGCCTTATCTACGAATTCTGTTTTATCGTTTGATTTAAGGAGTCTATTACCCATATTCATAGTCAGGCCTTATATTTAAGGCCTTAAATATAAGGCCTGACTATGAATATGGACATATAACTTATTTAATTAGTTATTATTGGGTATGGGAATAAGTTTCCGCCCATTGTAGAAAGATGTCGTTAGAAGCATTGTTTGGGTGTTTGATAGAACAGCAACACATGTGTTTGAAAGGTTTGTGTTCAAACTTTTGACCCCAATAGTTGGCATTCGTTCGAAGTGTAAAAAAGAGTAACTTTTTTTGCGTTGAAGATGTCGGAATTTATTCCAAAAAAGTAACATTTGCGGGAAGTTCTACTCCATTATTTTATTTTAAAGAAAAATGCTGCAGAATCGCATCGTTTGCTCGTAGATGTTTACGGTGAGCATGCTCCATCGAAAACCAGTTGTAAAGAATGGTTTCGGCGATTCAACAGTGGTGATTTTGACGTGCGTAACAAAGAACGCAAAGGTGCATCGAAAAAATTTGAAGATGCAGAATTGCAAGCATTACTCGAAGAAGATTCATGTTTATCGCTCGATAGGTTGTCAAAACAGTTAAATGTTGATAGATCCACTGTTGGAAAACGTCTACACGCAATGGAAATGGTGCAAAAAGAAGGAAATTGGGTGCCATACAAATTGAAAGAGAGAGACATGGAAAGACGTTTGATCATCTGCGAGATGCTTTGTCAACGACAACAAAGGAAGGGTTTTCTACATCGTATCGTAACTGGCGATGAAAAATGGATCTACTACGATAACCCTAAAAGCTTGAAAGTGTTATATCGTATCGTAACTGGCGATGAAAAATGGATCTACTACGATAACCCTAAACGCTTGAAAGCGTGGGTAATGCCAGGTGAACCAGGTCCATCAACGCCAAAACAAAATATCCATGCTTCGAAGATTATGTTGTGCATCTGGTGGGATCAGAGAGGTGTTATATATTATGAGCTGCTCAAACCGTCCGAATCCATCACTGGTGATCGTTATCGACTACAACTGATACGTTTAAACCAAGCTTTGAAAGAAAAACGACCAGAATGGGACAGTAGGCACAACAAGCTGATTCTGTTACATGACAACGCTAGGCCACACGTTGCAAAACAGGTCAAGAAATACTTGGAAGGAGTAAAGTGGGAAATTCTGCCACACCCGCCGTATTCACCGAACATTGCTCCTTCAGATTTCCATTTGTTCCGATCCATGCAGTCGGTCCTTTCTGGAGAACGATTCAATTCTTATGAAGATATCAAAAAATGACTTGATGAATGGATCGCTTCAAAAGGACCAAATTTTTTCTTTCGAGGAATCCGTTTATTACCGGAAAAGTGGAATAAAGTTGTCGCTTCCGAAGGAGCATACTTTGAACAAACTCACTTATATAGATTTGTTTAAATAAACACATCTTTTTCTTTTCAAAAAGGGCGGAAACTTATTCCCATATCCATATTTTATTATTATTATATGTATTTAAACCGACATTTTTAATTTAATTTAGTTCAACATCCTATTAAAGAAGGCATATTTCAGCGAAAAAGCAGAATGCGTGAAAGTATAAATTTCTACTTTCATGAAGTATACTTGATGAAACATTGTTAACAATTATTAATAACTTATAGTATAATATACAGGGTGTCTCAGAAGTAAGGTCGGAGCCATATTGGAGGCATAGAATCGATCAAGGGGAATAAAAAAGTCTGATACCATTTTGAGATATTCGCTGTAGTTTTCGAATTAAAAAAGGAAATGTCTAAGCCAATGTGCGATGAAGCCGCGCCGCGCGAATTCATAGAACAGCCCACACTCGACAGCGGCGG